GCTCTGGGCCCCTTCCGTACATGGGCTCCCTCCCACAGTTGAATGCTTTTATAACATTTTCATAAGTAAGATATTTAAGTATGGTTGTTTTTAGACGGTTTCTACACCACTGTCCTATTTTCCCTGAAGCCAGGTGTTGATGGAGTGGCCATGGGCTTGTTGGAGATTGAGTTGGGGATACTTATAGTTTGGGTATATTCATATAGTGGCAGTTACTTGCGTGTGGGGTTGGACCCAGCATAGCAATGGGTCCCAGGAATGTCCCGCTCTGCTGCTTGTCCACCACCGTGGCAGGTGCCCAGCAGAAGCTAAAGAAGGGGAGTGAAGTTTGAAATGTGTGGAGCTAAGAATTAGACCATGGAAAATTCTTCCAAATATGAAGTCTTACACGAAAGAAACTTGATAGAGGTTTTCTTATGTTTGACAACAATCCTCAGCTACATGTGAAGATGAAAATGTTCCCATTATCATAATAAAAAGCAAATTTTGGTCAATGATTCTAGAGAAAAAACTTTAAATATAAAGTTTCCATATAAACTTTTTTATATAAAAAATGACATTACAATATCATTGCTGTCTGAGGGGAATAATTTGTTTTCTATTGCTGCTGCAATATTACCACAAACTTGGTGGCTTAATACAAAATTTATTATCTTATAGTTCTAGATGTCAGGCGTCCAAAGTCAGTATTACTGGGGTGAAACCGAGATGTTAGCAGGCTGGTGCCTTCTGGAAGGTCTAGGGGAGAGTCTGTTTACCACTTTTTCCAGCTTCTAGAGCCTGCCTGGATTCCTAGGTTCACAGCCTCTTCCTCCATCTTCAAAGCCAGCGAGGTAGCATCTGACCACTTTTCCATGATCACGTCTCTTTCTCTGACCAGACCCAGGAAAGTTTCTCTGATTTTTGAGGTCTGTTTCCTCGATCACATCTGTAAAGACTCTTTTGCATATAAGGAAACACATTTCCATGTTTTAGGGATTAGGATGTGAATCTTTGGGGACCATTATTCTGTTTCCCACAAAGGACAATATTAATAGTTGTGATTTATTCTGATTTCTTTTCTCAGTCTTTCTCACAAATACGTCTTCTGTTTGGTACCTAATTCCGTATTTGCAATGTGCATTCTTTTTCTTGAAGAAGACCCCTCCAGTTGTACAAGCCTCAGACCTCACGTGAATAAGCTGACTCCTGGCAACTCTACTTGCCCACTGACCGAGTCGAGAACTTGACGAAATTTTTCCCACACTAGCTGGGCAGAGTCTGTGGGGGTGGTTCTGCTCACTGGCCAGGAAGGGAACCTGGGAATAGCTGAAGAGGAGAATACCTGTGTCTCATACGGTGACTCCGGACAATCACCGAGCAAAGTGCAGGATGCCCATATTCTATAAGGGATGTTCTGATGAGCGCTATGCTCTGTGGGTGCCCGTTGGGGGAGGTGGAAGAGCCCCTGAACCGTGGCACTCAGAGCTCAGTAGATGTCCTGCTTTGGCAACTGCCATGATGCTTTTTGGTTCGGCCAGTCTGCTCTTTCTGTCTTGGGGCTCCAAGATGATCACGTCCGGCTTTCTCTCTGGGATTCTTTCCTGGCCCCAGTATTGACCGAAGTCTCTCTTCTCTCCTGCTGCCTTATGGAAAACACCCATCATCGGGATCTCCCTTTTGGACATTTACTCTGCCCTCTTCGGGTCTTCATGCTGCCCCCCACCTCGCTACCCGTGCCACTGGTCACGCAGGTCCCTGAAATTCCTTCTCTCTGCCCTTGAGTCTCCCCCACTCTCACTTCCCTAGTGCTGTCTCTTTCCCAAATCTACCTTGGCACCCAGGTGAGGGCTTCTCTCTTGCTCTCTCCCCTTCTAGCAATTTCCTCTTCCTGCTCTGGTGAGAATTTTCTCCTCCACCTCCAGACATCTCTGCTACACTTGGCAACCCAACAGGCAACATGGTGGGCCTTCTACTGGGCATTTCCTTCTTCCCTAAAAACAAAAAGATAGGCGCTTCCCACATCTATACTCGGTGTCCAGCCTGGATGTATCCGCAGCATGGCTCACCGTGTTCACACAGTCTCTCAATATCTGGCTCCAAGGGTCACTCGTGGAGGCTTCCCACCCCTCTCTCTCCCCCAAAGTAGACTCTCTCCCCAGCACCACCTTTTCACACGTTCCTTCTGCTGGTGGGGAGTGTGAATATTCACATACTTCTCTGGTTTTCTTGGTCTTCCATCATGATTAGCCATCTACCCCATACTGTCGGGGTCCTGTGAACACTCAAGCCTCGTGTGCTGCCTCTCACAGCTCAATCCCCCTTGACTGGCAGATGCCAGGTCTGCGGACAGGGTCTCATTTGGCCTCATTTTGGAGCCTGAAGCTGCTCAACCAGCACCACTCAGGTGTTCTGCAGGGCTGTCAGTGTGGGCCTCCAGTAGCCACCGTCCTCATGGTCAAAGCCAACCCAGCGGTCATGCAGTTTTCATCCTCCACGCCTGCCTCTGCAGTCCTTCCCCGGCTCCTGGGCATCCCGGAGTCCTCCCCCAGCCGCACTTGGGGATCCTTCCTCTTTCCATAGCAGAAACTGAACTCTGTGTTTCCTTTAGAATTTCTCTCCGCTATCACCCTGGGATGCACCACTCTCCTTCCTTTCTTTCTCCCCAAGTTCAACCCTGTCCTCCCTGTAGTGCAAGTTCTCCAGCATGCTCAGATTACCAAGCCGGGTGAGGAACAGGTGCAACCCTTAGAGCAAGCCCAGCTGGATTCAGCCAACACTGCATGTTTAATTAGTCTGATTAAATTCACATGAACAAGAGATGTGGCTGGCACATACCAGTCGCCCAGGCATTGTCATTTCTCTGTCCACAGGGCACCGTGCTGGAAGGACTGTTGTAAGGGGGAAGCAGGGTCAGAACTGTAGGCAACACCCAGCACCCCCATCCACCCATGTCCAATCTATTTCGAACAGAACTCTAGGGGTTCTGTTTCCATGATCTCTTGCCATGTAACAAACCTCCCCCAAACTTACCAGGTGAAGCCAGCCAACATTTTATTTTCTCCCATGATTCTGTGTTGACAGAGCTCAGCCTGCTCTGTGGCATCAGCTGGATGCTTAGCTGGGCTGGGATGTCCACGAGGGTTTGCTCACTTGTCTGGAGGTTGGTGGGGAGGGCTGGAAGGCCGGGGCAGAGGGGCCTCTCTCATCTAGCCATGTGAGGGCTTTCCCTCGGCACATGGTCTCTCTGCATGGTTCCCTTGGGTGTCACCCCAGCAGCAGAGCTAAACTTTCTCACACGGTAGGTTAGGGCTCCCCCAAAGGGCAGAAGCAGAAGCTACCAGGCCTTCTTGCGGCTTCAGCCCACAACCGGCACAGTGTCATTTCAATTCTGTTGGTCAAAGCCAGTCACAGGCCATCCCAGATTCCTCCTGTGAGAGGACTGCACTAGGGTGTGGACCCCAGGAGGTGTGTTTGCTGGGAGCAGACTTCGGAGCAAAGCTGTCATGGGTTCTCTAGCTGGGGCTTCATATATGAGAGAATGAACTACAGAATGTACCAGATCTGTGTAACAGTCAACTTGGGTAAAACAAAGTAAAAGTTACACAAATACTATGACGTGAGACTCTGGCATTAATCCTAATACCTCCTCATTACAGAGTTGTATCAGTCAGACACAGTGCAATAAGTAAATGTCTCCTCCCTTTGTCCCTTGGCAGACAATTCTTTGCACGTCTAATTCTGCTGTAAGTTGTTTTTGCTGGCTCTTGCTCATGGTGCCACCTTAGTGTTTGATTCCTGATTTGGAGGTTTTGCTCATATTTCTTGAAAATTATTTGTGTGATTCTTTGCACCTCGGTGGAAAGTGATTTCCCTTGAGAAGAGTGTGTCTGCTTCTGTGGGTGTCTGGGAGCACTGCCCACCCAAGATCTCCTTAAATCAAATAATTAGCTTCAGGTTTTGGGGAGGGCTCTCAATATACATTTTGTCTGCAAGCCCATATGTGGTCAGGATCATGATTTGAAAAATCAGGGGGGATCTCCCCCCACACTTGTTCAGTTCAAGTTTCCCATCAGCCTATTTTATATACAGTTTTCCGGAAGCAGGATTGTGGGACAGATTAATTTCTAATTCATTTTTACAGGTGAAATGTTTGCTTTCATCTATTTTGCTGCTGGAAAGAGAAACATTTGTGTTGAAATGTTACTAAAAGTTTTATTTGGGGTTAAGAAAAGGCAACATCATCTGTGGTGTGGTGGCCCTGGGCAATCAGTACCCAGAGAGGCTTTGGGAGACATCATGAATAAGACAACTCCCATCTCTGCTCATCCTCCTCCATGCTCATTCCAAGTATAGAATTTGGGCACACTGTCAGGTGGATGTTCCCTGGGGCAAGCATCTCAAACACAAGTCTACTAACGGGTACAAGTTCTTTGATTATTCACTTATGCCCCCGCTTGACTGGGATGCTGGCCGTTGTCTTTCTGCATTCTGAGAGCCCGTCTCCTCTCTGTTTTTCTCCCCATTTGCTTCATTACTCAGCTGAAAACTGCCTTTCTGTCCTGCCTTTTCAACTTTCTCTGGGAGCTTGGGCCACCACATGCCTGAGAGGCTGTCTCCCCGGGTCTCCCTAGTCCCAGAACCATCTCTAACAAGTGACCTGTCCCTTGGGCCTCTGACCAGGTTATGGGCTCTTAATCCCAGTCCACTCAGGAATTGCTTCTGTGACCCCACCCGGGCAACCTTTTCTTTTTCCTTCTCATTTCTTCCTCTTACCCTTCTCTCGCCATGTTCCTGTTCACATGCTTTCCTACAGGAAAGCATACACACCGCCACCATGATATCTTTCCTGATAATGAGTACTAATCCCACCCCCAGTTCTCCCGTGGTTCAGTTCTTGGGTCTGCAGAACCATGTGGGAGCAGCACACAGGGAGGACTGTCTCAACACATCTCTGCCCGGCCCCTTCATTTCCTGTGTTTTTTTTTTTTTGTTGTTGTTGTTGTTTTTTTCACTTCTAGCCCAAGAGGCCTGGAAGCAAACCTGGAGGTGAGACCTGGAGAAAGCTGGAACCATGCTGACCTTGTGTCCTATGAAGAGGCAGATTCAAAACCTGGGAAGCCTGCCGTCAGTGCAGATGAGGGAGATGGGAGTCCCCAAATCTGCCGTGTATGCGGGGATAAGGCGACTGGTTACCACTTCAATGTCATGACATGTGAAGGATGCAAGGGCTTTTTCAGGTAGAGTTACCTGCCAGCCTTTACCCACCTGCCACCCCAACACACTGGGTCACATCTAACTGGGGTTCTGCCATTAGTCCACTGGGAACTGCTTTAGAGTCTTAGCTTGACCTATCCCGGGTTCAGAGTATGGGGCAGTTGCCAATTCAAAAGCCTTCTATTTTTTCAGGAGATTTGTGAATATCTCAGAGGACTTCATCTTCCATCTTTCTATCTTACCTGGGAAAGGGCCCCTTCCACTAAGATAACCGTTTTGTTTCTCCATGTGTTGAATAAAATGGAAAATCAGTTCATAAAAGAGGAAAGAATCCAAAAAGCCAAAACTCAAGTGCTCAAATCAACTAAAGGGAGTGTTTGTTAAGCAAAGAATGGCATAAAATCAAAGAAGAATAGGACAAAACAGTCTCATCTAGAAACAGGCAAACAGGGAGGTCGAAAACTTAAGGACTGCAAAGTATCAGCTCATAGCAAGACAGGCCTACACAGAACAGTTCACATTGTCCAAATGAAGAAAGAGTAAAGACCAAAGCCCTCTGCGAGGCTCTCAGATCAAAAGGAAGAGAAGCAGGCCAAGAAAGGAGGGAAGCAGAGAAAGAATGTGTGAGGAGTTCGCAGTCAGCCCACCAGGAGGGCCAGGGAGGTGGAGAGCAGCTCCCACCTAGGGGCCCACTTAGGAAGCTCCCAGGACAGCCAGCTGGCTGTCTGCAGAGTTCCTGGCAGCTGAACATGTGCCTAGAAATGGACCCTAGAGCAGGACCCATCCCGCAATCTCTAAGATGGACTGCCAGTCAGCTTGCGTTGGGTGGGGGGCCAGAACCCACAGCAGGCCCTCCAGGGAGGTGCTGCGGCAGCTTGGACGTCTCCCTAGTGAAGAAGCCCGGCTTTGGGGCCGGTGCTGCGAAGCTCTCCAGTCCCGTGGGGCTCGGTTGGTCTAGTGCGGGTCCCGAAGCAACCACGTCGGCAGCCTCACTCCGGGTCGTGTGGAGTACAACAGGGTCCGGAGAGACGTGTAGCTTGGAACACCCCCCACCCCCCAACACACACCCGCGCACAGGAAGCCCCGGTGTTCCTCGAACCGGCCTTTCGCTCTCTGTTCTCTCACAGGAGAGCCATGAAACGCAACACCTGGCTGAGGTGCCCCTTCCGGAAGGGCACCTGCGAAATCACCCGGAAGACCCGGCGCCAGTGCCAGGCCTGCCGGCTCCGCAAGTGCCTGGAGAGCGGGATGAAGAAGGAGAGTGAGCAGCGGGGAGTGCCCTGGGCGGGCACGGGCTGGGGCGCATGCGCATCGTGAGCCTGGGCCAGGTCAGCCCCGGGCCCAAGCTGGACCGAAGCGAGGTGCCATGTACGCGCACGTGTGCAGATACGCACCATTGGTGTGCACATGCCTGTGACTTGTGTACAGCAGGCAGGCCAAGGGAGGAGAGCTCGTGGGCCACCTGCCCACACCACCACCACAGGCCCCTCCTACAAGGACTTGACAGAGAAAGTGCATCTTTATTCTCTTCTCTGGGAGGTGTGGTGGGCATCTCATGCTCCTTTAACTCCTCAGGTGCCCCTGCACGATTCTTTTCGTCGCTTTCATAATCGTCCACATGGTGTTTTAGCCAAATTGGGCCAGGGGAACTGGGGAGAAGGAAGCCAGAGACACATGGTGTGATACCACCCCCAACCTTCCAGCAACTAGTGCCCATCAGCCTCCCAAACCTGGTGTTTGGGAGGAATTCCAGAGGAATCAGACAGGTGGCATAGGATGCTCTCATTCTACCTGTCAATCTTGGGTGTATAATTGTGCTCCCAGGTCACTCTGAGATTAAGGCTGGTAAGGAAAAGGCTGGAAGCTTCCAGTGCATCTGTCTCCACTGATCCCAGAGTTGGCAGCCTCTTTCAGGGGACAAGTTCCCTGGGCCTGCGGACAGGGGCCTATCCTGCAGGCCAGCTGAGAGTCAGGCCCTCATGTGGCTGTCCCCACTGTTGCTTGCACTGACGCCCACCTCTTTGTTCTGCACGCAAAAGTTCCAGAAATCCATGGAAGGCCCTAAGGCTCCAACCTATGTAGGAAATGGCTGGAGTTGATATTTCGTGCTGAGCAGCAGCCCCAGCTCCCTAGGGTCTTGGAGACCCAGATGCCTTGGGGGAACTCTGAGGAGTCCAGTTGGTGTCTAATCCACCAAAGAAGACTACTGTCAGGTGCACTGACTGACTACTTATGTGCCAGGAGATCTCCTGGCACTTTACATGCCATGTCTCATTGTGGCAGCAGCGTGAGGGGAGCACTGTTGCTCCAGATCATGAAGAAGGACATTGAAACCCGGAAGGGTTAAGGTGCTTGGTTCAAGGTCACCGCTAGCGAGTGGCAAAGCTGTCACTAAAACCCAGCATCTTTTAATTCTGCAGCCCGAGCTCTTCCCACCATTCCACAAAGTTGTCACAAACCCACTGCCTCAGGCGGTTTACCAGCTGCACCTCACTCTCTGCCCTTAACCCAGTGTTTCTCCAGGGGAGCCCACCATCTAGGACAGGGTGGGTTTTTTGTCACCAGCCCTTGTCCTCCTGCTGCATGGGAGGCTCACCAAGTGCAGCCAAGCTCCTGCAGGTGCCTGAGCCTGCCCCTGGTTATTCCCTCAGTGATCATGTCCGATGCCGCTGTGGAGCAGAGACGGGCTCTGATCAGGAGGAAAAAGAGAGAACGGATGGGCACTCAGCCCCTGGGAGCCAAGGGGCTGACTCAGGAGCAGCAGACAATGATCAGAGAGCTGATGGATGCTCAGATGAAAACCTTCGACACCACCTTCTCCAATTTCAAGGACTTCCGGGTATGAGGCTCTCTCTAGTTGGCTCAGACATTATCCTAGCTCCTCAAAACCCCAGTCTCATTTCCAAGGGTTCTCCAAGAGTGGCTCCTGCCTGCACAGCAGTGGGGGCCCCAGGGAATGGTTAGAAATGCCAATTCTCGGCTCACCCGAGACCTGCCAAATGAGAAATGCTGACGGTGGGGCCCAGTGATTGGTGTTTTGACAAGAACACCTAGGTGATTCTGACACGTGCTCAGAGAGAGAATCTCCGTTCTCTCCTTCCACAGCAGGTAGTAAGTGGGCCTGAGCCAGAAACAGAGTTTTGGAAGCTGAGTTGCTCCAGGGTGGTTGGCCCTCAGGGCTTTCTGAGGACAGGCCCGGGACCTGTTTGGGATCTGGCATTTGTGAAAGGGATTTATAGATCTAAGACACATTTGTGATCTCAGCAATGTCAGCCATGTCTGATCCCGGTGCTCTCTTCCTGCTCTGTGCTCACAGGTGTATCTCAGGCGATTGGCTCCACTCAGAGAGCTGGCAGCCAGTGACCCCTGGAGTCTGTCCTTTCCATCTGCGGCTCCCACAACCTCCTTTTTAAGTCAGGGATGCTTGGAACACACCCAGAGGTGGAGATCCCTTACATTCCGCTGGGCAGAGAGCAAACCCACTTCTGACCAGGCAGGGATGGGAGGGAACATTGATAGATCCAGGAAGTACTCCACTTGACAGGAGAGGACCAGAGAGAAGGAACAAATACTTGCATGCACACACACACGCACGTGTATGTGCACGCACGTGCGTGTGTGTGTCTGCACTTGGCATCCTCTCAGGCTGAAGCAGTGGCCTGTGTAGAAACCTCTTTGGGAGAATACATGCTGCCTCTCCTGTCCTCTCTCCATCTTCCGGCTCCTGTCCCAGCTGCCAGAAGCGCCCAGCAGTGGTCACGAGGTTCCGGAATCCCTGCAGCCTGCAGCAGGGGAAGAAGCTGCCAAGTGGAGCCAGATCAGGGGAGATCTGTGCTCACTGAAGGTCTCTCTGCGGCTGCGGGGGGAAGACGGCAGCGTCTGGAACTACAGACCCCAACCTGATAGCAGCGGGAGAGAGATCTTTTCCCTGCTGCCCCACATGGCTGACATGTCAACCTACATGTTCAAAGGCATCATCAACTTTGCCAAAGTCATCTCCCCCTTCAGGTAGGACACAGCGGCGGGGTGGAGGGGTGTGGAGAGGAGCAGGCAGTGGCCAGCAGATTTAAAGGGTCTAGGGTAGATTCCTCTGAATTTGGGGGATGTTGGTGCTAAGGGACCCTCCCTTATCTCCACCTACCCTTCCCATCAACAGGCAGAGGGCAGGTTATATTGTAGGAGCCCACCTGTTCCCCTGTGACACCGAGGCCTTGTTTAATGGGGTGAGGGTGGCCACGAGTCAGATGGTAGCACATTAGATCAGGGGAGTAAGAGAAGGCCTGCCTGCACGTGTGGATCTTGGCAGATCCCCACTGACATCCGGTGACCCGCGATGGAACATCGTGGTGTGAGGTTACTTGCCATTTCTTGTGAGCACGGTTGTGAGCTCTGTCCCCCCTAGAGGTGTGCATGATGATCTCCTTCATTCTACAAATAGAAAACTGAGGTTCACCAAGGTCAAGGAACTTGCACAGGGTCGCAGTTAACCAGAGGGGCCAGATTTGGGAGCAGAGAGCGCAGAGTTCAAAGCCAGCTACCCACCAGGTCCTGAGCCAGCGCTGGGAAATAAGAGAGTAAGATCGACTTCCTGAGATTATAGATCTGAAAGAAAGGGGCTGGTGCAGAAAAAAAGGGACCAAATTTCGGAGGAGACCAAAGACAGGCAGGGGGCCCCTCAACAGCCTGCCGAAATGTCGTTCCTTCTGGGGTCTTAGTAGCAATGCTCCTCTGTGGGGAGTCGGGAACTCGCAGATTGGGGGGGCGGTGTCAGCCTAAACATGAATTTCAGAGGTGGCCACTGTGTCTTGGCCTGGCCTCAGCGCCAGGAGGGGGCTCGGGGCATCTGGGCTGCCTTGAGCGAAGCGATAGAAACAGTCAATCCAAAACAGACAGCAGGAAGCAGATATGCCTACGGGCATGGAGCTCCTGTCAAAGGAGCGGCGCCAGAGGAAGGACTTCTGGGAGGTGCCGCGACAGCCTGTCTTGAAGGACCAGCAGGATTTACCTAAAGGGAAGCCAGAGGGGCGGTCATCCCAAGTGGGGAAATTGAGGCAGAAACTGGAGGCTGGGGAACTGGAGCCACGGCATGGACCGTGGACCAGTGGCTGTGGGGGAGTTGGAGGAGATGGGCTGGACTGTAGGGGAGAGCGGGCTGCACTGGCAGCACAGACCCCAGCAGCAGGAGCCCCGTGGGAGGTGTGGGGAGGAGCAACCTGCTTGGCTGCTGTCAGAGGAGGGATTGGAGGCGATCTGAAAGCATCTGCAGCCCCCCGCCCCCCAACCCCAGCCACATTTCTGGATATGCGAGGGGGCTGGCCTGTAGCCCCCAGTCTGGAAACTGGCACGCCACCCCCATCCTCGCTGCTAGGGATTTGCCTATCGAGGACCAGATCTCCCTGCTAAAGGGGGCCACCTTTGAGCTGTGCCAGCTGAGATTCAACACGGTGTTCAACGCAGAGACGGGAACCTGGGAGTGTGGTCGGCTGTCCTACTGCTTGGAAGACCCCGCAGGTGCCCGAGAGCTGCCCGCCTGCCCCTGCGGAGGGGGGCAAACACGAGCGTGGTGGGAGGGGAGGAGCCACATCAGGACAGGCGGAGGGTCCTGGGGTTGCAGGGCAGAGAAACAAGCCCTCTGTGAGGGAAGGCTGAGAATTTTGCCCACCCACAGGTGGCTTCCAGCAGCTTCTCCTGGAGCCGGTGCTGAAGTTCCACTACAGGCTGAAGAAGCTGCAGCTGCATAGGGAGGAGTACGTGCTGATGCAGGCCATCTCTCTTTTCTCTCCAGGTGACGACCCCACCTGGCCTGCTTGGCCACTCCCCCCAGGCCCCCCCAGCCCCAGGCTTGCTTGCACTCCCTCAGCTTTAGGAGGAGGCAGCAGGCCCACCCCTGCCCTCCCCAGGGAGGGTCCCAGCCTCTGGCCTTGTCCCCGTTTGCTGCATGGCCAGGAGGGGGTCCCTGGCTGGCTTCTCCCTGGGTCGGTGGGGTGGTGTCCCCTCTGAGTGCCACCCTCCCTTCCCCGCCTGGGTGCCTCTGGCTCCAGAAGGTGGCCATTTGCGTTCTCTGGCTGGCCCCGATCTTGTCTTTGCCCCCACGGCCTTGCTGGCACCACGCTGTCTTCCCATCCCCCGCAGACCGCCCAGGTGTGGTGCAGCGCAGCGTGGTGGACCAGCTGCAGGAGAGATTTGCCATTGCCCTGAAGGCCTACATCGAGTGCAGCCGGCCCCAGCCTGCCCACCGGTGAGCAGCAAGCTGGGAGGGTGTGAGGGGTCCCTCCAGCAGCCCTGTCCTCTAGGCGCCCCACCTGTTCTGGGCCTCTCGGAGAGGGCAGGCCAGAGCTTCTCCTGGGGCAGCCTCTGACTCCTGGGGCTTTGGGGCCCCGTTCTGTGACCTCCACTAAGGCCCCGGCCCGGTCGGCCTGAGTTCCAGCCCAGCAATGGAGAAACTTGAAGGAGGGCCAGAGGCCATGCCCAGCTGTGGACGTTGTTCCTGTCTGCCCTTTTCCACTCCTGTCAGCAGGAATAGGAACCACCAGGGAGTCCCCCCAGAGGCTCCTACAGGCTCTTCTACCAATAGCCAGCAGTAACCAGCATGGTAGTAAAAATAACCATGACAAAAACCGTGATGGTAATAATAAATAAATTTGCACTGAGAAGTGCCAGCCCTGGGGCCAAGCAGTTTACATGATTTGACCCCTTTAATCTTGAACACCGACCCATGAAATGGGTGCCACCACTACCCTGCAAGGGGCTGGAGACCCAGGGCGACTGCCTCAGGGTCCCCAGCCAGATGGGTGGGATCTGGAGGTGGCAGCAGGTGGACCTTTTGAGTGCTCCCCGATCCCGTCCATGAACAAGCACAAGCAGGCAGGGTAGGAAAGTCCATAGTTTGTGCTGGCCACAGCCAAAGGAGGAAGGCTGCTCGGGGCTCGGCCAGACAGGGGTTTCCATCCCTGCCCTAGCTCTCAGCAGTGCCACGGGCCCAGGCCTTGAGGGGTGAAGGCCTGCATGCGGTGTGTTGGCTGAACTTCAAACCCCAAGTCCTTACTTGGCCCGCTTTGACTTTATTTTGAGCTCAGCCTCTGGGCCACATCCTGATTTTCTTGGTCTTCCCCTGCATGGAGCTGGGAGGCATCACGCAAAAACTAAGGCATGAGGCTGGTGTCAGACGCTAGATCCTGGGCTGGATCCAGGAAGGATCGGCAGGTCATCCTGTAGTTGCTGCCTCCACGACTCCGCTGCTCGGGCCTGGCCCACAGCCATGCGCCAAGGCCATGTTGTTCCCTAGGTTGCTCTCTGTGCCCGGCCTTTGCAGTACCTGGATTTTCCCATGGAGGGCATGAGGGGTGAAGGAGGAGTGTAAGTCCACACCTCAGTCCCTCCAAGTCTGTTCTGCACTTCTCATCCGCAGACTAGGAGGAGCTCAAGGAATTGGACTGAACCTTGTCTCTTGGCTTGCCTGAGATGTTCTAAGAGTAATACCCTCAAACCTGTGCAACTTCAAAGCAGTCCCAGGGTTGGTGGATGGGGACAAGGGTGGGCCACACCCCCAACTATTCCTCTGGCTGGCCTGCAGGTTCCTGTTCCTGAAGATCATGGCCATGCTCACCGAGCTCCGCAGCATCAATGCCCAGCACACCCAGAGGCTGCTGCGCATTCAAGACATACACCCGTTCGCCAGCCCCCTCATGCGGGAGCTGTTTGGCATCTCAGATGGCTGAGAAGCTGCCCCCTTGGGAGAGCCTCCGGTGGGGGGGCAGCCGGAGCCAGAGCCCTGCCCTTGGAGCTGCCATTCCTGGGTCTAGACAGATGGATACCGCTGAGAGCTGACAATGCCCTACCGGTCGTGCCCACCCCAGGGAATCCACAACCACAGCTCTGACAGTGCTGCCTAGCATTCCTCAGGAAAGGGACGAGGGTCTCCCTGGACTCCAACCCAGTCTGTGGAGAGGGAAGCCATAGACACTTCGATGGAGAGCACTGGCCCATCTAGAGGCAAGAGCACCTTCCCCTTAGAGATGGCCCTGTGGTCTGGGCATCTAGTGTCATGGTGGGAGAGGGGAAGGGGTGCCTGGGGCTGGACCATCTGAGAGTCTGTGCCCATAGCCAGATTCATTAGCTTCTTGGATGTTTTCACTACATACCCCTGTGTCCCTCACCCCACTCATTCCCAGCCCGCAGCCACCTGTCCTGACCTGCTCAGTGAGTTTCCAGGCCTGTGTTCATCAGCAGGTGTATTTGTGTCTGCGAGAGGAGCCAGAAGGTCTGCAGCAGATGTCAGAGGCTTGTCATGACCGCTGTGTCTATTCTTTCTTCCTTCTGGACCCTCTTTCTGTGTCTTTGTAGCCATGCAAACACATTCGTAAGCACCAACAACATGCAGCTTTCTGTGGGGTATTTGCCGACTCAGACATAGCTCCTGAACTCCAAGACTTTCAAGTTCAACTTAACAAAGCAGAAACACAAGAGTTTTGATCCAAAGAAGTGGTAAGGACCACAAGAAGCATGAGGAATTTCTTCCTGTGAACACTGAGCTATGTGGGGTTCTGCACGCACCTGAGCACCCAAGTGAGGGATCTCTGGAACATGTGTTCGTGGGAGGAAGGGCACTAACTGGCTGAGTGCACATGTGCGTGACTTAGTGTAGGTTGGCTCTGCGTCTGACCTGGGGCTTGGGTCTGCCCCCAAGGGTGGAACACTAGGGTGCTCTCTGCAACAAGGGTATGTTAATAAACATGCTAGCTTTCACGCCCTGTATGCTCCTGTTTATACATCTGTTTGGAAAGCTGAAGAGTATGAAAGTGTTCGCTTTGTTTATACCCATTTTGAGTAAACATGTTTTTGCCTTTGGTGCAACTTACGTTTTGACTAATTTTACATAAGGCTTGCTGCACCTAAGGACAAGATTTAGCAAATATGTTCCTGAGTTTAATGTCAAATCAAGTCAAGAGGACTAAGTAATTAATTTGTGGCTAGAGATTTAAACCTTTTTTTTTTTTTTTTTTTGGTCTTCTTTTCTGGGGAATAAAGAAATGTGGGGGTGGGAAAATAGAAATATTATTTCATAATATACATATCTATTTCTTCACTACTGGTTTTACTACTGCCCTTTGCACATCTGAAGGCTGTTGGTATAAAAACAAAAATGATTTAACTTGGTTTGCTCATAAAACTATTCCATATAAAGATCCATATAAAGATGATACACCCTGCAATATAGTATATGTGTTGGTGTGTTTATGTACCAGAATTAAAACTGTAGTATTTGGATTAATTTTAAATGTCTAATGTTTTGAGGCAATGAAGCTACAAGTTAACTGAATTTTAAGGAACAGATACTTGATTAGCTTTTACCATTTTACAAGAAGCAGGCCAAACTCTGAGAACATAAGAGATTGCTGACACTATAAATCAAAGCAAACAAACATATTCCTTGCCATCTCCTCAGATTTTCCAGCCTCTTCTGCATTAAGGATATAGAACACACACATTTTTAGAAAAGAAACTGAAGGGAAAAAGAGCTCCTCTCTCCCAATACAATGAATACAGATGAATTTGTTTCCAGGAATTTTGTCTAATTACACTCCTTGGGAATTATAAATTTTATTCCACTGAATTCATAAATCATATGCCTTGCCTCTTCCCCATTGAAATAATTTTGAGTGTGCTATTCATTCAAGAGCCCGAAATGGCTATTAAATATAGGCTACAGTAAAGCAAAATTAAGATGGGATGTAAACTCCCATATCGTAGTATTGATTTTAAAAATACCTGGGTAGCTGAATTGATATGTACATAGGATTTATGTATCTTATAAAAATTATTGTAGCCTAAGTGTAGGTAAGATTCAAGGTGAGACACATCAAACTGCTCACACGGATACTTCAGTAGCTTTGTGGATCTTGACTTTACAGAGCTAGGAGCCAGACTCCACTTTGCTCCTCTCAAACATTTGGATGGCTCCATTACTCCCTTTCCTGAGCCTTTCTTTGAACACAGAACTAAGTGTCAGTTTCTAGGCATCCCTGTGGCTGCTGTTCATTTTCTAGGTCTTGTCTCAGGTGAGGATGAAGTCCATCTCCAAAGGTAGGAGAAAAGCCCTTCTAAGAAAGTACTGCTTGCCTTCTGGCCCCCTCATTAGCCGGAGGCACTCAGCAGCTAATCTCTACCTGGCCCAGACATTAAGGATCCAATTAAAGCACTGACATCAACAAGTTTTCTTGTGGGAAGGCTGAGGTGGCCTCTCCTTTCTGGAGAAGAGGCTGTAAGTAGAAACAAGACATTTGGTTGACCGTCCCTTCCCAGTTTCTGACAACTCGTGGGCCCCATGCTGTGTTACACAGCAGCTTCCATTTCCTCCGGACACATTCCTTTAACATGCCCACAGTGCTGGTGAGCAGAAGAATATGTTATACCTGAGAAACAGGAGGATGAATCATCACTTTGGGTCACTTCCTTTCACAAACTTCTCCATGAAGAGCCCTGCAACCTGACCCCTGCCTTTCCTCACTACTCTTTCTAGAACACCTATGAAATGGCATCCACTACCACTGTTCTCCTGGAAATGTGACCCGAAAGACAGGTTAGTCGGTACTCTTTGGAGGGCAGTCTTTCAGGCTTTTAAATTAAAAGGGTATCGTGCTCAATTCCAACTCAAATAGGTCAGGAAATAGAAGAGTAGTGAATCCCAAACAAACACGTCAAAGCCATCGCGAGGCCCATCATCCCACAAGTGCCATCTTTATGTTTGCATTTTTCCCTCCTTTCCCCTTACTCCCTGCAACTGGTAAACATGTTTAACTATTTTTCAAGTATTAGCTAACCCCACCACCACAATAAGTAAAATAAGAAAATAAACAGAGGAGCAGACTTTATCCAATATAAATTCGTTTTTATTGAAGCAGCAGTCACATGACTTCATATCTAGCCTTTAGATTAGGCCTGACAAGAGTGAGCCAGCCCTAAAAAAAAAAATGATGTTTCTTTTTGCACTAAGAGACATAACATGTTTACATACATCATCCAGTATTGGAAATGAGCAGATTCAAACACAACATGTGTTGGTAACCTGGAGGTACAGCCCCACGGTTTGTGGTGTTCATATATTTTACAAATACTCCCAAAGACCATTACTAATGGGATGAAAGTTAAAAGAAAATACAGCTACACCAAACCATGAACACAGTAATCAAAGACAGCAGCTTATACACGTTTTAAATATTTGTCCCTTTCAAGGACATTTTCTTTCTTTTCAAAGCAGTGTCTGCAAAGCTTCCTCTACATCAAATCCAAAGGTTTCCAAGATGGAAGCTGCACCTCTTGGGGCTATACAATGGAATATGATAATTTAAAGAACGAGAACTAGTGTTCGTATCTTGATTTTAGAACAAAAATCCATGTTTCTCTAATTGGAGGAACGGAGATGGTGATGTGACTACATATTTCAGTAGCAAAATAGGCAGGGTAAAGAAAAGAGGGGTGGGTACTGAAATAAAGACCACACACTTGTGAATTTTAATTTCATTTCCAGGCTAACCTACTTTTTATTTAATGCAAATTACAGTACCAGTTAACTATTTCCAAACCAAGTCACATAGAACAAAATGTATTTACAAGGGAATGGGGAAAGGGAAAAAAAAAAAAACATTGAGCATACTTTTCACAAAAAAGTTTATATTTAAAATGAAAAATAAATCAGTCACAGAGGCATTCAAGTAGTAATAATGTTATACAGATTTTGCTTTTCCTTTATATCAAGACAGATTTGCACAAGTGTTTGCAATAGTTTGTATACAACCCACAGTCCTTTATATATATATATATATATATATAATAAATTTTGTTTAGATTTTAAGATGGAAGTGGTCACGCTAATTGGTATGTGTACAGGCCCAAGTGATCCATCGGCAACACATTTATAAATGCAAATTTTACAGGCAAGCACATTTTCATACATCTATCTGTATCTGCCTGTAGACAGATATAGTAAGAAAAAAAAACTTAAAAATGAACACAAGGAAGTCTACTTTGTCAAGCTAACCCCTTATGTACTGGTTGTCATTTTGCTTTTATTGCAGAGGTGCAAAACGGAGCAACAAACTTGAATAAAACATCATAACCCTTGTGAAAATAATCCAAACCCCAGGGATTACTTTCAAAGCCTCTCAAACGTAGACCTTAATCTGGGACTCTACTCTGCTTCTAGTTGTCTTTTTTTTTCAGTGGCTCAGGTTTCTACCAGAAAAGACAGATTTTATTGTAAAGCATGCTTACTTTATTTTTCTATATAGGGGAGAAAGTGTTCGGCTCTGTGATTAGATGATCACTAACATGAACAACAGAAATCAGATATAATTTTGGTTTAAAACAAAGGAAAAAAAACCCCCAAACTCCTGGGGATCTGGCATTGGCCAAGCTTCCTTTGGAAGATTCCAAAGTTAAATCCCTTAAAAAGGAAAGGGAAAAAGAAATGAAATGCCAGTGTCTTTATATCCACAGGGATAGAGAATACAACAGTCCTCTCAGAAACCTTTGCATTGGTGCAGACAAGATGACTGGTTAGGCAGGCTTTGTTAAAACATAAACCAAAAATATGTGTCTAAAAATTAAGAGGACTTAAGAAACAGACACAACATGTCACTGGAAAGAAGGTGCAGTCTTCTGCCTTGTTGGAATGAACACACGATGTTTCAAAAATAGCAACCTTTGGTTTGGTAAAGTT